GTTGCTTATTTACGTCCTCCCTAAAACGCAAAATTAGGCATTTTCACGTCGTAGTCGTGCAAAAACGGGAAAGAAATGTACCAAAAAGTGTGTTGCAGGTGTGAAGTTGTTGTTTTGCTAATTAAACCTATTTTTTTTTTGACGTTCTAGTTGTTGTCCGCGTCGTTGGATCTTAAACTCCCTATTGTCTCCAAGTAGCTCCATGTCATGGCCTTTCTGCCTCTTTGCAAAGACTTCGTGACTAAAAATGACAGGCTTTTGGAAATTAAAACGCTGTTTTCTCGGGCCAAAAAGGTTTTAAAAGTATCTATTCAGCGTAGGGAACTCTTCGTCGTTCTTGAAGATAGCGTTTTAACAATTTAACTTCGTATTTTTTGTCGAAAACAATCTACTTTGGTTATATACTTTATCTTTCCAGAGGAAAAGAATGAACAGATTTATCTCCTGGCTACGACGCCATTCTTGTTTGAATAATACCTATTAATTCATTTTTCGTTACATTTTATTATTTTTTACCCACTTCTTGTGATTGACTGAGACTTTCTAAAGAAAACAACAAAATAGATAAAAACAAAACAAAAACAAAACAAAACAAACAAAGAGTAATAGAAGAAAGAAAGTTTGAAATGTGAGAAACATAAAAATAAAGCAGGTAATATAATAACAGAATTGAAAAATAAGAAAATGCCAAAAAAAAAAACAGAAAGTTTTTTTAAAGAAGCTCTCTGGTTATTTGGCATTTTCTTATTTTCATAAATATTGTTATACCCTCACAAAGAACGCTGACGAAATAAGTCAGTCCAATTAATTTATAGAGACTGGCACTCCACCTGTTACTTCAACTGGCCGGGCTTCTCTAGTTTCTGATTTTACTTCATGTAAAGCATGCAAACTTAACAGTTAACTTTTATCCTTTTTCGTGTAATGATTGTGCTCTATTGTCTTACCTAATTAATCTTCATTTTTCTTACCACTGTTTTTTTTTCTTAAGGAATCTAAATAATTATTTTTATTTATTTATTTATTATTTACACAACCCGCCACGAATAGCCTTTGCTACTTGAGGGTTGTGTTTTAATTCTATTTTGTAACAAGGATTTTGAAATAAAGTTGTTGTAAGTTGTAATTGGTCCCATCATGCCTAGCAGGCTGACTGTGAAGGACAGGATGTACAGACGGTTGCTGTTATCATAGAACATTATAATTAGGTACAATTGTGAAATACAATTCCTCAAACCTTACCCCCGACAGTCAAGTGTCGGAACTTGTTGTTCATGCAAAATATACAACCGACGGTCAAATAACCTGCTTTGAAGTATTTGAGGAAAAGATAACAGATAAAGAGGGTAAAAGTGGTGGCTTGAGTTGAATCCAGAAATATTCAGCTAGGCACATGGGAGGGTCGAAAAAAGAAGGTAGTCAGTGGACTAAACGGAGCCTGCGTGGCAGACGTTCGAAAGCCGAGAAGTAACCATTATTTAACAATTAAGTAAGTAAGCAAGGTTCAATCTCAACATCATCGCACATTAATGAATCAGTACAACGTTGTTACAAGCCGTTCTTAAAAATAAGATTACAAGCAAATCGTATAAAAAAGGGACTGGTTTACAATAATGACGATGATATGTAATCGAATTACCAACAATTCCAAAACGATTTTTAATATATATACCTCGCCGATTTTTTGAAAAACAACCTAACGAAATTTGCAGTCATTTGAGTGAAAAGGTGTCAAAAGGCAGGTTTCTTAAGCCCGTCAGAAGCTCCAAAATCATATATAGTAACGAAGGAAAAGGACAGCAGAAAGGGCGAGGAGAAGGAAAGGAGGAGAAGAGAAAAAAGCAATGGCTGCACTCTTAGTTTTTATAATGGCTACTTTGGAGACAGTTTTTGGTCCAAATAATTAAACTGTTGAACGCAAAAGCTCCATTTGACGATAACGTTGTCAAAGCTCCGGCTAGATCAGTAAAACAAGAAAATTGTCATACATGCAACTGATATCATCTATGCAGACTCGATTATTTAAAGTTAAGATTGTACTTGGAAAGAAAATACGAAGTAGTCTTTCAGTCCTACATTTGGGCATCGTAATATAGTTCTCTGTATCAGCGGCTCGTATTATACTGTTACATGAAACATTTCTGCAATTTGATTGGCTAAGAGCGGCGGTATTTCAGCTTAATTTGAAATACCTACCTGTGAAAATTACAACCCTTTTGCGGGTAGTAGTATAAAAAGAAAAACATCATGATTTATACGTGATATTAAGCATAAATACCACGAGTGAAATTTCAAAATTGTCTCAAATTTCACTCGCCTAACGGCTCGTGAAATTAGGTATAACAATTTTGAAATATCACTCGTGGTGTTTATGCCAAATATCACTACAAATCATGCTATTGCCTAGACTAATTGATGATGCACACAAACCCTCGACTTAGGTCTGAAAATGTTTATAGAGTAGCCCCCTTTTGAAATCTTTTTGAAGGTGCTTACCAATAGTTCACTGCGTCTTTCGTCTAATCTAGGTAAGTTAAGAAAAAGAAGAGCTTCTCATGAAAGCTCAGGTACAGGCACCCAGGGCACTGCACCCTGGTCTGCACACGGGACACTAGACTCTGAACTTAGGACTTACTAAAAATAATATAATAATTACTCCGGAATCACCCTCCCAAAGAGAGGATAAAGCTATCTTTCCCTCCCCCAAAACAAAATCAACCCTCCCGCGCCACCTTTTAGAATTTCGTAGAAAAAGAAAGAGAAAATGTGTTTATGGTGGAACACCCATGAGGGACGACATAGTTGGACCGCTCCGTAGAGTGGCCCTGGACTGGACTCCGGACTGGACCAGAGAAAGGACTCTGGACTCTGGACCCTGGACCATCACAGGGGTGATCCATGGACCCGGCATCCATGTTTTGTATACATCCGGGAAAAAAGACGAGCGGGTGGGTTACGGGTGAGAGTGAGAGAACGCCTGAAGTACTTTTAACAAAAGCTCGTTCCGGTATACCAGATTCTGGTACACCCTAGGCCAATGATTGGTCTATTTTGACATCTCTTGTCAGCACTCGGAGGTTCATTACCTGATTGGAAATGTGATGCCGTAGCAATGAAATGTTACACAGGAGGTTATCTCGAAAGCGTGGTGAAGTGTTTCAAAATAAGCAACATCATTCCCGAAGAACAAGAAAAATCTTTTTGAGGCTGGACTGATGTCGTCAAATGAGAGTAGGGCTTCGAAATTTTACCATTTATTGGCTTTCAAATGAGCTCTTTTCTTTCAGTTCTCTTCAGGAATATGAAATACGCGAGTGAATCTTCTTTTGATATGAGTCTTTGTTTAGCCTGCGAATACAGCTGTTTCTCCTTGCTCCTCGCCAATAGGGACATTTCTTCTTATGTCGCTACTCAAGTACAACAGTTTAACAGAGTTGGAGTCGCTACAACAGTAGGGAGACGTGGACGATCGCGAATTGGCTGTGATTCTGAAGGCAAAATCTTGAAATTCAACTTGATTTGCCGGCGGAATCTTGAAAATTCAAGATAAACCAGTAACAAACAACGATAAAAATCGTTAAAATGCGAGGAACTACCGATTTGAACTATGAAAAAGGACAATTTCACTCCTCCCATGGAGTGTTTTCAGAAATCGCTTAAGGGAGCTTGTATATACCTCCCTTGGTTGCCTCGATCATGGCAAAGTTTGAACAAATTATGGCGCGTTTTGGAAATATTTTGAAACAAAGTTTCAAGGGCTATAAAAACATTGAATAAATATGCTATCGACATGCATAACTGGCTCATATCTAAAGAAAATGATGAGGTCTTGAAATGCAGTTTCGTCTCATAGCATAGCAATTAATTTCCGAAGATATCTCCGAATTATGCTAATGTTGGAGATCATGGTAAAGACAACATCTTTAGCGTCACTTTTTCATCATGTGGGACACAGAAATAAATCGCTTTGCAATAGTTATTTGAATTTATGTTTCCTTTTTGCAATACCTGTTTTCAGTCAACTTATTTAGCTTTATTTTCATTGGTACGGAGACCCCTGACCATGACAGGAAAGTAACTGAGGATCCGCTTCTGAATGCAAATTAGAACAGCTACTACGTACTGCAAATCAAGACGGATATTACAAATTATTACAAAATCGTCCACTGACGTTCTCTAAACTTAAGCCAAAACAGCTTTAAAACTTGTTTGAAGAAAAAGATGGCTTTTCGCCACCCCATAGGGATCAAAGGGAAAAACGTTTACTTCATGCTTGTTTAAATTCTAGGAAACTACTGAACAGAGTTGATTACAATAATTAATGTGGAAAATAAAGCCAGGAAAAAGAAATACTTTCCCTTGGTTTGAAACAACAAATTCAATTAGAAATTTCGTCTACCACTACTGTTGACGTGGGCTTGATACCTCAGAATCGCCGTCTCAAGAGCAACTGACATATACTGCTAGGAACCTTACGAAAATACAACACAATAGGCTTCAGTGAGCAAAACAACAGCTCCGGCTGCACGTGCATCACATTTTTTTGTACATTTCTCCGCTGTCCGTACACGACTACAACGTGGAGTATTCAATTTTTTTTTTAGTTGACGTGCTTAAGAACTGGAACGACAAGGCGATGAATTTATTTACTATCCCTCTCTGAACTCGGGCGCGGTCTCCTCTCTTCAGTTCCAGCTTAACACATGTTCCGTGCTTTCAATTCACTGAGCGACTTGGTATGAGGGCGAAAAAGGACGCGAAGTCTATTTTTCAGCGACGTTTTCATTGTTTTCATTGTTTTCGGATAGTAAGGTCCCTATTAGATTGTATTCTTATCGTCCTTTGTATTGGTTCTTGTACCCTCCTTAAACACCAGTGCTTCCAAACTACGATTTGAGACAAACCGCCAGGGAATTGCCGGCCCCAAAACTGCCGCCCGCGATGCCTGACACAAGGCAGTTCTGCCAACTAATATTAAGATCTATGTTCTTCAGAAATGATCAAGTGGAAGGCTCTACTTGGTTACTTTTCCGCCTAAATGAAACCACCTGACTGATAAGCCTTTTAAACTCTTTCTTTATGTCTCTTTTGAAAAAAGCATAAGACAGTGGGTTAATGGCCGAGTTTAAAACCAAGACAGGAATTTTGTATTGTTCATCTTTACATGATGCATTTGTGTCGAATACTACTAACAGACTACAACGCAAATATATTCCGTAGCACACAACAAACACTCCTATCACAATACCCATCATTATTACTGCAGACTTCTCGTGATGGGTTTTAAAAGATACCCGATGGTTAAAACGTAACTGTTTTGTTAGGGTGCGTGTTGACCGATCATGTTTCCATACATGAAGTAACATTGACGCGAAACAGAGTACTTGCAGTACGCATGGAACGATTTCCATGAAAATCATTAAAACCACAACTGCAACGATACTGGTCAGAGGGGTCTCGCAGCAAAGCCGAAGTGCAGTCTTGAACGCAACCAGCGTAAATGACGCTATTCAACAGGCAGGTATCACTTGAATATCACGAGATCGAGTCACAAAAGTTATGTATTTAAAAGGCTTTACGATGGCGATATAACGGTCGAGCACCAGAGAACACAAGTTTAAAACAGACAAGTAGCTAAACAGCCACCTTACGACATCTTTCCATGAAGGAAAAACCTTAGGCCAGTAGCAGGTGTTTGTAACGTCGCATGCGAACAAAGAAGGAACAACGCTCAAACCAACACAAAAATCCGCCACTGCAAGTGAAACAATAAACGCGTTGGTTTTGGTGCGGAGATTTCGTCTGCTGCAGACGAGGAAGATTGTAAATCCATTTCCAGTGATGGCAAGAAAGGAAAGAACCCATCCAAGAATCCAAAACCAGGTCTCCATCCGTACTAACGGCAGAAAAGAAAAGTTCTTATTAACTACACAAATAAAACAAAAATATCCTCTTCACAAAAATGTCAGAAGGTTGTATGTTATTCACTGTCAGATGTATGTTACTAGACTGAAGTCCTTTTTATTGTCCTACTTTGTCATAAACTTAGTAATTTCTAATATGTGTTTCGCATGCGCAGTAGGTAACTGACCGAGCTGTAATAACACAGTTGGTAGGAAAATGAGGATAGTTGCGTGTCATAACCGCTGTAATTCTAAGCCAATGGGCGCTTTCAATGCAACAAAAATTCCGGTTGAAATGTTGGAAATTCCACTTGCCCAATGGAACTACATCGACCCGAGCAAAGCCTCTGCGCGTTTGGTTACTGTTCCTACAAATGGAAAGGGACACTCCAACATTGCCGATCTTAATCTAAATAGCTCTGATCTGGCTGGATCTTAATTATTCTCTTTACAACTAAACCAGTCTGGTCTGTCAGTTCTAACAAATGGTTTTAACCGAGACCTGATGAAAAATGATATAATTAAAGGAACCTTCACTTTAGTCTAAATTGCGGCACATGTTTCTTACAAATTGTGACAGGTTTACTACAAATTACGACAAAAGTGCATTAATAAATAAAAAGACTGTCTCTAATATCACGTACAGCGCGTTACTAAATTTGCCTGAGAACGTTTCCGCCGTTGTCGTTAACCATTCCTAAGCGAGAAAAAAAAAAAAGAAGACAGATATGAGCCAGCACTGCATCACGGTAATCTGCCTAGTCTGTCCCGTTTAATAAAATACTACATGCAAACGAAATTAAAACAGGTAAAAACAGCTCTAGCCATACTAAATATAATAATTATGCAAAGGTTTTCAGTTAATAAATAAAGCTGATCACGATGTGCAACAGAAACACAATGTCGCTACGTTTTTTAAGGCAGTTCAACTGTGGAAAAAACACCCTCTTCACAAAATTCTTGTCTAACCTTTATTAATTATTTATAAAACCTTGTTTTTTATAATCCTTTCAATATATATATATATATATATATATATATAGATGACGAAAATTAGCCTTGCGTTTGTGTAACCGGGGCGAAAAAGGTGATAAATTTGATAGCTAGAGTCCTTTTTCCATATGATAAGTCATAATTATTGTGCATTTTTTTCATTTCAAGTCACACCTACAGACTAAGCTGAAATGAACTTGCACGGAAAGATTACAAAACTCTTACATTTCTTGATGTTTTTCTCAGAAGGAAATTATTTCATATAACAAGAATATCGTACAGTTAATCTTTCAGTTCGGTTCAGTAAATTCTAGGAATCTATCGCCGTTAACAGATCAGAGTTGATTACGAAGACTATTTAACGAACAACCTCAGTGCGGAGGAAAATTGGCGCCAAGCCTTTTATTAAAGTCACCAAACCTCGAACTTCTGAACTTGTCAATTTTGTTTTCTCTCGTCAAACTGGTATTCAGATTGCGAACATCCGTTTCAGATTGAAAAACCGATGGTCGTAACCGATGAGGCCGCTGTACAAAGCGCACGGCTATTAAGCCTGGGTTCGAACTGTATCCATGCATGCTCACGCTATCTTTGTTACTCGATTGATGTAGAGTCTTGCTCGAGTATGCCAAAATCAAGCAAGCGAAGCAAAGCGGGCTTTCGTAGCAGCCAGTGTGCGGGCTTTGGTAGCAGCCGGGAAAAACTTGCGTCTCAAACCACCTGTGAACCTTGATATTAAGTCCTTTCCCTAATGTTATAGATATTCTCTGAGGCTCCAAATAAAGGTTTTTCTCCTAATGCGCCATTTTTCCAAATTTCAATTCGCTTTGAGTCTAAGCATCACAGATTTATCAGTCGTAGCTCAAGCCTTTTGCACTCGTTCATATAAGACCTACATCCTGCAAGAATGAGTAACGCACGTCAAGTGGTAGGCTTTAGTTAACTTTGTTATTTTCTTTAAAACTCAGCGCCGAAAAGTCTTTTGAACTCTTTCTTTATGTCTCTTTTTTGTCTTTTAAAAAAAGCATAAACCAGCGGGTTCTTGAGAAATTTTTCGGGTGGTAATGTGACGGTGGGATCCTGGAAAACCTAGGCTATACTCCTGGTTTAGCTGAATTTTGCTCACTGTACTAAACTAAACTTCCCAAATACCTCCCTATACAAGAATTGCTCTCTGATTTCTGTACCCAATCCCAGACTTAACTGCGTGCTCGAAAACCATACCCTACAAAACGTCACAATATATACCATGTGGCAGTACCCTCCTCCCGGGGATTAGGTTGTCCACCGAGTTCCTTTATCACAAAGTTTAAAGAATCCACAGAAAAAATATTTTCGCTCGTTTGAGTGGGGCGAATATGAGTATGACAAATTTTGATAGCTGTAATAAAAAAATGCATTTTTGCCTTTCTCCCTGTAACTAAAAGCTTGCTATAGTGAGTTTATAGACCTCTGACGATTTTATGTTGATTCTCTCCACCTCTTGACCAATAAAGAGATAGAGAGATATAAAGAGATAATAAAGATATAAAGAGATAGAAGAGATAATAAAGACAACTGTTTACATATTTAGATAATTTACACAATTAAACAAATAATTATAAAAAAAAATGCCGGAGAATTTTTGGCACGTTTTGCGAAGAAAATGAAATAGCCAGAACTAATTACTGCCCAAGACTATAAAACACGACGGATAACAATTTAACAATTAGGGAGCTGGTATTATTTCAAAAGCGAGGACCCAAAAATTTTACCCCCTCTTAGGTTAACAGCCCAAAAATCCTGCCCCCTCCAAAAATGTGTGCCCAAAAAATTGTAACCCTCCCCTGTAATAACATTTCGAGTATTCAAATGTTGTATCCTCGGAATCCATATGAGCGTAACTTTGAGACAATTTTTTCATTGGAATAAAAAAAAAGTGTTAGTATTCACAATATTTACGAAGCTCATTTACGCTTCACCAAGTAAAGAAAACCATTGACAGCCCCACTGTCACTTATTGAATTCCTGTCTTCTACTCAACTTGAAGAGTGAATAAATTGTGCCTAATAACTTGTCAGCGAATAGCAAGAGGAAAATTGTCTCTATTTACGGAAAGTCCGCAGCTCTTGCTCAACCCCTCCAGGTCCTGCAAGTTCGGCCATATCGTGTGGTCTATGTTGCATTTGTTGAAAAAGAAAAACGTTCTGTTTCTGTTACTGTTTAAGACTTACTGAGTTTTGTAAAAGGATTAGTATAAACTGGACAACTATGAGTTAAAAAAAAAAAAAAAAAAAAAAAAAACAGACAAACAAATACAGATCGAGTACCAGTAAACATGAAAAAATACATTTTCAGTTATAATAACATATCATCAACTATCCGTGCACTTGTGATCGCGGCTCGTTTTAAGAAGGGCTGCCATTCAGATGCCAGATGTATTATAATACAGGAAAATCACCTGAAGATGACGTTGATTAAACAACAAAGCCAAACTGAAACCGTCCGCTATTTTCAAAGAAATTTCAAAGTCAAGCACATTGGAAGCAATTCCACAAGAAGTCACTGCTCATCTCCAGCCAATCAGAGTGCTTTTTAACCGAGTGAGTCAGCTTTGAGTACGCAATTCTTTTTATATTACTTGCACGGCCATCGTAATTCAAGCAGTGCTTAATATTTTAGTAGCGCAAAACCCATTTAATAGTACGCGCACATCGCCCAAAGACGCCTAGAAATTGTAACCCTCCCCTAAATGCGAACCCAGAAAAATTTAGCCCTCCCTAAATGGGAGGCCCTCCTCCCAAATTTACCAGCCTTCCCCCAAATAGTTAATGACTGCTCCCTTAGTTCATGAGTCAGCGTGCGTATGTAGAGATATTGAGCTCGCAGGAAGATTGGAGAGCACGAAAGAGGCGTAAGAGTTGCTCGATGTGCAACCGAAAGCATTTTTGGCCTCTTGAGTGCTCTCCAAACTTCCCAAGGGCTCAATATCTCGACATACGCACAGCTGAATCTTGAACTAATAGTTTTATAACATTATCAAAGCTATCAATGCAGCAGTTACCTTACATTTTCATTATTATAGCGTGCACTCAAAGCAGTACGCGTCAATGTCTACGTGAGTAGGTTTTTTTACCTCACAGTTATGTTTTTGTCTTGAAACTGAGAGAAAGTTTAATCAAGTCGCTTAAGATAACGGTCAAAAAGATTTTAAAATCCATATTGAGGTGCTGGAAAAGTATTGATTCACCAAAAAATTATTTTTGAAAGAAACAACTTTGCAAAAAATGATTTGCACACGTCATAGCCCGTACAGCTCGCAGAGATGACAACAACAACACTCGCCTCTTTTCCCTATTATCGATTATCAAATTCAATCGTTTTCTCTTAAATTTTCGTTGTAAAACACATGGTTAACACTTTATCGTGTACTGTTGAGCTATGGATGCACTTGAGAGACGTCTTGGGAGGATTGCTAAGCTCACAAGAACTCGAGGTATATAGTTTACTGAGTAAGACGTCATCAGCGTGCTCAACAGGAATAT